GTCTGTCCAGTAGCTGTAAGAAGCAGATCCCAAGTGCAAAACGCCCACCTGTCAGGGATTAAAACAGCAGATCTTTGATTGTTGGTTGGTCGGTTCCATTTGGAGCTGAATTGTTGAAACTTTTGTAACAGTTAACAAAAGTTAACAAATGTCCTATTGTTTCGTTTTCTTATCGTATCTTTTATCGGGTCACAACTTAATAGGAATGAGTTCTAGTCACATCTGTTGATACGGTCAGGTTATCATGTTTATATAATCTCACAACCCAGACTTCAGCCTATCAGCAATAACTTCTGGGCTTCTTGTTGCGTAACGAGTTCAAGGACGGCCTGCAGCACTTTGACAGGAAGATTTTCCTGACTGACAGTTTCCTGGTGGTGTTGTGAAAACCACTGCACTCGTGTCACTCTGACTGACACTGCACACAATGAGCAGCAATGGGCAGAGCCTCCTGAATGCTTGATATGCATCAGATCAACCTGAGAATATGATTACAATCGCAACTAGATGTCCACAGCTGTCGTTGTTCCTGAGCAGAGGACCTCCAATGGGAGTATTCTGAAGTCACCTGAAGGTCCTGTTTAATAGGAATAGCTGAATATCAGTGTACAGGGGGTTCAAAAACTCAAAATGTGTCAGTTACAGCTCATTTTAACACCTGACAGGAAATGTTTTTTATACGTACAAATGCACAGAAAAGTTGACATTTTTCAAAGAAATGGTTGAACATTCTCCTCCATGCATCACAGCTCTGTTAGTGCAAGCAAATGTACACATACTTCCAGGACACACACCCAGAGGTCATTGTTTCAAGTCTCAAGTCTTTGCACTCAAGTCCCAAGTCTTAAACTTTGAGTTTTGAGTCCTAAACAAGTCGTAATGCACTCTTTACTAAATGTCCATTTTAACGACAAAATGAAAGAAAAAGTATCTTTGGTATGATTTTTTTCCAACTGATGCTCAGTAACGTAACGTTAGTTCTCTCCTGCAAATTGATTGGATGATGTCGTGATAAGTCTAGTGTTCATACAAATGTTAATGTGCAAATATGAGATATTATAGCTTTAACATTGGGGGAAGTTATCAAGTATTTTCAAGCCAAAAGGCTTAAGTCCAAGTGAAATCTTGAGTAATTGGTTTTTAAGTCTAAATTGAGTCTAAAGTCATCAAACCTCTGACACACACACACACACACACACATACAGACAAAGACATACATTAGCAGGGTGTTAGCAGCACTCACCACTAGTTGGCGCAGCAGTAGTTAAATGAATGCAATGAGGGTAGCAGACTGTGAAGAGAAGGACAGATTAGTGGACATCAAAACATCTTTATAGACGTCACATTGATAAGAGCTCAATTAGTCAATGAAGCAATCAATTAATAATGGCTGCAAAACGGTAGGGTGGTTAATTAGACATAATGACAAAAAACAAGCAGCTGAGGTCTTGAACAAATTACAACAAGAAAAGGTCAAGCTGTCAATTAACAATAGGCAGAACATAAGCAATCAGTCATTTGTGTAATTATGGGTTGAACATGGTGGGTCGGTCATCAGCTAGACCATTGCTAGATAGAGGTCGTTTGAAGGTCCAGAGACAGACAGATTCCACAGAAACACATCAACGTACATGCTGAGCAGATATAAATGATAATGAGTTTAACCTTGTGTATTCAGAATGTCGGCACGTCACATACAATATGAGACAGCATGTGAAAGGGGAAAATCTGAATCTTTCTCTACAATGTGGGTCTTATTTGATCATTTTGGCCATTAATGGTATTGGTATGTATATTAACAGTATTGTATTGTTGACTCATATTAAAGATGCTCCTTATTCTGCTTATTCCACCAAAAAACTTACATATTAAATATTCGGTCTCTATAAGCAGATTGCAACTGATTGATTGAAATGTTGTTATTGTAATAATGACCAGAACTCATTTGAAAATACTTCTATAAATATATACTATACAAACATATACTTACATGCACCTGTGTGCACACCATCAAAGAACCAAATTATACTCAAACCAAACTTTTCACAGCCTCCCACTTCATGTTTTATCTTATTTCCGTCATGTCATGTTGTTAATGTCATCTTGTTTGCACGATCAAATCTTCCTGTATTTCAGTAGCGCTGCTTTACACTGTGTCTCTCTCAGTGTGGATCACAGCAGATAATATGATGGAGCAAGAAAAGATAAAGAGAACCCCGACTGTGTGTGTGTGTGTATGTGTGTGTGTGTGTGTGTGTGTGTGAGTGAGTGAGTCAGGAAACTTGGTGCAGAATCATGCATTTCTTGAAAACCACTGCAGGCCTCAGAGGCATACAAGCATGCACACACACACA